AAAAGTGCATGGCCTTTGAAATTCCCACTTTTTGACATTTTTTTACTTGTATACATGTAGGTAACTATGACTGAGATTTGACTTGTTTTACATGTGTTTTAGTGAAATTGAGACTAGTGAAAAAGAAGGTAACTCTTGCATTATACTAATTTTAATTTGTGTAAGTTTCAACATATTTTGACTTTTTTGTGTCTACTTTTAGAGACTGGGTGGCATCAGAGTAAAAATAATGTGTCTGGGTAGGGTGACATGTCTTCCTGCGGCACTTGTGAACTTAGCATATTCAAAATCTGACTCAGCATGTCGGTCTAGTACATATAAGGGTTTATACTCATATCACATTATTATGTTCTCGTCTTGAATATTATTTTAATTTGCCACTGGACGTTAAAGTTAAACAGCCATCAGATACTATATGCAATATGGCAACTATTTTTGGATTGACTGTAAGGTGTACATGTCTGTCTGACATGGTTCTTCTGACCTGACTCCATTTTCATGGTTCCTTGGTCAATGTTAATAATTGTGGTTTGGTCTATTTCTTAGAAATTATAAGCAATAAGTCAACTATATTTGTGTATGGAATGATTGTAAAGTGTATGTGCCCATCTGGCAGGGTTCATCTGACCTTGACTTTAATAACATTGATCAATGTCAATGTTTAGCTTTCATGATGCTGTAATAAAACCTTTGTTTTGAAGACTTTCAACATAAATTTAATCATGATCAGGAAAGCCTATTCAATCTTTCAGCATGATCACTCTTGTTTTTGATAATTCATTCATAACTCAACATGTATTGCTATCATGTAATTATGAACATTTTTGGTCTTCATTAGATATTATAATTTGGCATTGCACCAGGTTTATATTATTAAATAATAAGATGTGGTTTGATTGCCAATGAGACAACTTTTCACCAGAGACCAAATGTCGTAGAAGTTAGCATCTAAAGGTAACTGTAAGGCTTTCAATAATGAGCAAATTCAATACCCTGATTTATGTACAAAGCAATAAACTAAAAACAAATTTTATATGATGTTGTAGTACAGCAAGAAACAACTGTTACAATAAATGAATTATGATTTTTTTGTTTTAAGATTGGGCTTCTTCAAAGTTTTTCACCAACACATTGAAAGATCAGTGGTTGTAAGCCTTTAGTGTGTCATGTGTTTAGCAGCAAATTATAAAGTTAACACTAAATTGTACTAGTTTTATGCTTTGCATCAATTTACTGGATTTGAAGAGTTTTATAGATAAAAAATCATCAGGAAAGCTCAGAGACAAAAGTTTAAAAAAGCGTATAATTAATATATAGATATAAGAAGATATGGTATGAGTGCCAATGGGACAATTTTCAATCCAAGTCACAATTTGTATAGGTCAAAGTACATGCCAGTTTCTCAGCTGTTATATGTTTTTCAAATTTAGAAAACAATTTTGCATTCATGAATGGGATATATATATATATATATATAGACTGTAACACATGTTTTTTACATATCATGTAGGTATTTTAATGAGAAATTCCATGTAATAAAATAGTAATGTATTATTCCCTTTTTTATTTAATGTTAACAAGCTAATAGTGGTCTTTTTTTGAATATTTTATAACCTACATGAAGCTATAACACTTAAAATATGTGTTTGTTTATTAAAAGGGGTAAAAGGATTCTTTCACTCTAACTGCCTGATTCTCATGCCTCTTCAATTCAATTTATTTGAATTAATTATTGTTTATACTAAACTCATGCCTCAATAAACTTACCTTACCATAGTTTCAAGCTGAAACTACTCTCCTACTACCATTTTTGCATCAAAGTCAATATGTTCCTTCAGTTGATAAGTCATTTTTTCTTGTTTTTTGCATTTTTTAACCCCCACGCCTTTCAAGATTTTTGTGTTGATGGCAGATCTTAAATCTCTATGAAATTAATTCACAACTTGGAAGATTAAGAGTGGTTTAATTAAGAACTTAGCATACTGTAAACAGAAGACTAATGTCTATTTTGATTTATACAATGTAAGTATCTTGCCTTCTAGATGTCTATTTTGATTTATACAATGCAGGTATCTTGCCTTCTAGATGTCTATTTTGATTTATACAATGTAAGTATCTTGCCTTCTAGATGTCTATTTTGATTTATACAATGCAGGTATCTTGCCTTCTAGATGTCTATTTTGATTTATACAATGTAAGTATCTTGCCTTCTAGATGTCTATTTTGATTTATACAATGCAGGTATCTTGCCTTCTAGATGTCTATTTTGATTTATACAATGCAGGTAACTTGCCTTCTAGATGTCTATTTTGATTTATACAATGCAGGTATCTTGCCTTCTAGATGTCTATTTTGATTTATACAATGCAGGTATCTTGCCTTCTAGATGTCTATTTTGATTTATACAATGCAGGTATCTTGCCTTCTAGATGTCTATTTTGATTTATACAATGCAGGTATCTTGCCTTCTATATGTCTATTTTGATTTATACAATGCAGGTATCTTGCCTTCTAGATGTCTATTTTGATTTATACAATGCAGGTATCTTGCCTTCTATATGTCTATTTTGATTTATACAATGCAGGTATCTTGCCTTCTTGGTGTCTAATCTAGTTTGATTGTGTTTTAGGGTTGCTGTCTCATTGATGGATACCTCACATCTCTTATTGTTTGTATCAGGTACATTTTGAGAGTTGGAGATCAAAAGTTTGTGTAATACATTAATACACATATCTGTTCTTTTCAATTAAATTAACATAGTATATCTCATGTGTTGTGTGAAGGCTATAGGTATATGCTCTCAGAATTTTCTCCTGTAATTGCAATTACAGATTTTCATACTTAATATTACATATAATTGTCTTGCTTTGACAATGTATTAGTTTGTGATTAGGTCAGTTTTATGGGGAACCACTAGTGGTAGGTTAGTGATACTTGGTATGCATTTGAATAAGCATTGGCACATCTCATTTCCATGGAGAATATTTAGCCCAAACCCCCCTCAGTTATGGTCTATTAACTTTGAAACTTTTGCTTAGTTACATGTATTAGTTGGTAATGAGGTCAGCTTATGATAGGCAATGATATTGTAAATAGCAATGTTGCTGTCCGTCCCATTGTCTTTTTCTGAATTTTCTGCCAATTGGCGAGACATATCTCTGTGTCAACAGTTTATATAAGCATTGGCATAATCTCCTTTCCATGGAGTTCATTTGGCCCTGCACCTTTTATTCATGGTTTATTGACTTTAAATGTTTTGCTTACATATATTTTAAATTTTTAAATATTTCCATTTTAATTTCATCATTTACATTTTACTATCAAAATTACAAAAAGCAAAATGGCTTGAACTGTTATGAAGTGACTTCACTCTTTTAATGATAAAATAAAAACTGATAATGCACGACTTGAAATAAATCGAGCTACATCTTTTTTTCTAGATCATGACATGGAGTTCTGATGAGGAGGAAGAATTAACTCTATTCTCTAAAGAAGGTCTGATTTCATCCTTAATATCAACAAAATTGTTTTCTTTTAAGTTATCCCTTTTGTTTTGTAATCCTAGAAGGTATCTGCTCCATGCTAGCGCTAACTCTACCAGCTAAAGTGAGGATGTTGAGAGTTTTATTAACACTTCATTCTATGTTTTAATTAACCCATGCTTTTTGTTGTTGTTTTGGGAGTTGCTGTAGGATTTTCGCTGACCTGCAATTTGTTTTGCATGATTTTGTTGTAGATTTATGTATGTGATTAGGATATATGCATGTGTTTATGGAAATGATTGTTTGTGCAGAATTTATGTACTTTAGATATATATTTCAATATGGTTAATTAAAATTAATTAATAGCTTTATAATTGTATATGGAATGTGTGTTGTATGCATGCATTAGCAGGACTACATATAATTTGTAACAATTTAAGTACAAGACCATGCGAGAGCCCCAAGGGTACCGGTAGTCAAGGTCGTTAAACACCCCCTAGTAGTAGTAAGTATAAGGACAGTGCAAAACCCTCAAGGGTAGTCAAGGTTGTTAAACACCCCCTAGTAATAGTAAGTACAGGACCGTGCAAGACCCTCAAGGGTAGTCAAGGTCGTTAAACACCCCCTAATAGTAGTAAGTACAGGCAGATTTTTGTATATTGAAAGAAATTCAGCATGCATTGATCATGAATGACAGGTACATGTAACTAGATTTCTAATCTAGTATTATAGAAACATTGAGAAATGATCATATAATTTCCTCACTTCAATGGACTTATGGTAACATATTCTTCTCAAGGGTTTCATTCTCATTAACATGATACTGAATCTTCATGTAATATTTGCCACTGGATGTGAAGCATCTATGCATCATCATATTCTTATTAGCATCCTTGGCATTGAAATCATTTCGTAAATTATCCAGCAAATTTCCCTTTGCCAATTTTTTTTATTGATTATGTTATATATACATGTAATATACTTTTCATTAACTTTATTTTTTACCTATTTCTACATTTATGATAAAATGTATCTAAATAGCACTAAAATCGGAACTCAGCAGATAACTTGTTTAAAGTTCTTTTTAGCTTTATTCGTTTATTTCATCATAATATTGCAATTGTAATTACTATACTATATTTCACTTATGAAAATTATGACCAGAATGCATTAGATTTTGAAATGGTGAGATATCAACATCATAAAAAATGGATTTGGCGCCAAATTATGTTCACTTGAGCGTACAAACAATGAAATTATCCATTATTCTTATGATTTTGAAAGGGCTAATTAACTGAAGAACAAACAACAGTGGGAGAATCAGTTTACAAGCAGTGTTTGACTCAATAATAAAATTGAGGATGGAAATGGGGAATGCGTTAAAGAGATAACAACCCGACCAAAGAGCAGAAAACAGCCCAAGGCCAACAATGGGTCTTCAAGACAATGTTGATTTTGATATTAAGTATGTTTGTTAAGAATGAACAAAATAGAAATATTTGTTACTTCTTTTTCAGATGATAACTTACTGAACAATCAAAATGGCGTTAATGGAACAGGAAGGCCAAGGGTATATTTTAGTTAAGATTTTTTAATTTGGATTTTTCTGTTTTCTTTAACAAATTATGTTCTGAACTTCAAAAACAGAATTCAATTTGTGTCTTTACCACAGTTATTATGTGTATAGAAATACCACTGGAAAATCAAAATAATTATTTTGCATGCTCATTCTCAAGGCATGTTGGTCTATAGCTAGTTTTACCTTTTTTTTTTACATTGTACCTTGTCATAAAATATCAGTTAGTTAAACATGTACAAATGTATCAAATATTCTAATTGGTATTTTCAATGATGAAAAATGATTTAAAAGGAAAGACAATAATAGATTTCAGATGTGACTTTTGTATTGTTTACATGTCAAAGTTTGTGATAAGGTCAGGTAGAGATGGACCACAAATAGTTACTAAGTAAGTCAATGATATTTGGTATGCAGTTGTATTAGCATTTGCATGTAAATTGTAAATGAACTATAATTTTGGAAACAGCAAACCACAATTTTTCAATGAAGTTTAAATTTTGTAGGTTTTAAAAGTTTACAACAACTGCATCTCGATGATGCAACCTTTGTATCTGTTTGTTGGATATCGGTATAGGATTTTTGTATGTACATGTATTGGCTAAGTATGAGTCAAAATATTATTCTTTTTCAGGAATCCAATGGAGGTTATCCTAAAAGTGTTTTCTTTATCCTGGGGACAGAGTTTTGTGAAAGATTTTCTTACTATGGCATGCGAGGTATGTGTTACAGTGTTCAGATTAAGTTTTCAGTACCGGTAATATTTAGATTGTCTCTGTCTGCTCCTTGTGACAAATGAATAAGTTGATCAAAATGCAATTACTGGCATTTATATTTTATGTCAGAAATATAAAAAATACCAAACAAAACAAACCAAAAATTATGAACCAAACAACAAATAGACAAAGTATAACATTTTAACTAGCATTACTTGTCTTCTCTCTGTGATCCTCAGATATGAATTATAGACGGCTGCAATATAAAAAAAATCTCTAAAAGCAATGGTAATAGTCATATACCTTAATAAGGCTGATGTTTTAGTTACCTTGCTAATTCTCCTTTAGATTCTTGCTCAACTGTTAATAAATTGTGGTACAAAAAAATGTTATGGGTAACTTTTTTCTTTTTTTTTTATGTTTTCAACTCCTTATTTATTAAATAAGAAATCATGTTATTCATGTTATTTATAATGTGAAAAATTGAAATAAAGAATGAGTAAATGCTTAAGGTGGCCTATATATGGCCTGGAAACGGGGAATGGGTCAAAGAGACAACAACCCAACCAAAGAGCAGAAAATAGCCCAAGGCCACTTATGGGTCATCAACACAGCGGGAAATCCTGCACCCGGAGGCGGGCTTCAGCTGGCCCCTAAACAATAATGTATACTAGTTCAGCAAAAATAGACGGTACACTAAACTCTGAAACATATAAATGAACCAAAATTAAAAAAACATACAAGACTAACAAAGGCCAGAGGTTATGCAGCTTTTCATCTGATATCACAATAAGTACTGCCCATGTTAAATTTAACAGTCTGATTCCTTTTCAATGTTTGACAGACTTGAAATTTGTATATTCCATAGGCATTCTGAATATTAATGAAGAGAGCCAACCTAGATTTAATACACGCTACAACTTTTACTTGACTTTGAGCATTTGAGATGAAGGTTATACCGTTAATCTGGAAAAAAGCTTAAAATTGTGTATTGTTTACTTTGATGTTAATTATAAAATATAAAGACCTTAGGTGAAAATGTACATATTGAAAGTGATGTGATATGATTTTTTCAGCCATCTTAATTCTGTACTTGACAAAATGGTTGAAGTTTGATGCAGATAATGCCACTGGTGTTTATCATGGATTTGTGTTCCTTTGTTACTTTAGTCCTCTGTTTGGAGCTATCATTGCTGACGGTTACCTGGGTAGATACAGGTAAGATTTGTGTTCCTTTGTTACTTTAGTCCTCTGTTTGGAGCTATCATTGCTGATGGTTACCTGGGTAGATACAGGTAAGATTTGTGTTCCTTTGTTACTTTAGTCCTCTGTTTGGAGCTATCATTGCTGATGGACACCTGGGTAGATACAGGTAAGATTTGTGTTCCTTTGTTACTTTAGTCCTCTGTTTGGAGCTATCATTGCTGATGGTTACCTGGGTAGATACAGGTAAGATTTGTGTTCCTTTGTTACTTTAGTCCTCTCTTTGAAGCTATCATTGCTGACGGACACCTGGGTAGATACAGGTAAGATTTGTGTTCCTTTATTACTTTAGTCCTCTGTTTGGAGCTATCATTGCTGATGGTTACCTGGGTAGATACAGGTTAGATTTGTGTTCCTTTGTTACTTTAGTCCTCTGTTTGGAGCTATCATTGCTGACGGTTACCTGGGTAGAAACAGGTAAGATTTGTGTTCCTTTGTTACTTTAGTTCTCTGTTCGGAGCAATCATTGCTGACGGTTACCTGGGTAGATACAGGTAAGATTTGTGTTCCTTTGTTACTTTAGTCCTCTGTTCGGAGCGATCATTGCCGACGGTTACCTGGGTAGATACAGGTAAGATTTGTGTTCCATTATTACTTTAGTCCTCTGTTTGGAGCTATCATTGCTGACGGTTACCTAGGTAGATACAGGTAAGATTTGTGTTCCTTTGTTACTTAAGTCCTCTGTTTGGAGCTATCATTGCTGACGGTTACCTGGGTAGATACAGGTAAGATTTGTGTTCCTTTGTTACTTGAGTCCTCTGTTTGGAGCTATCATTGCTGACAGTTACCTGGGTAGATACAGGTAAGATTTGTGTTCCTTTGTTACTTAAGTCCTCTGTTTGGAGCTATCATTGCTGACGGTTACCTGGGTAGATACAGGTAAGATTTGTGTTCCTTTGTTACTTTAGTCCTCTGTTTGGAGCTATCATTGCTGACAGTTACCTGGGTAGATACAGGTAAGATTTGTGTTCCTTTGTTACTTAAGTCCTCTGTTTGGAGCTATCATTGCAGACGGTTACCTGGGTAGATACAGGTAAGATTTGTGTTCCTTTGTTACTTTAGTCCTCTGTTTGGAGCTATCATTGCCGACGGTTACCTGGGTAGATACAGGTAAGATGTGTGTTCCTTTGTTACTTTAGTCCTCTGTTTGGAGCTATCATTGCTGACGGTTACCTAGGTAGATACAGGTAAGATTTGTGTTCCTTTGTTACTTAAGTCCTCTGTTTGGAGCTATCATTGCTGACGGTTACCTGGGTAGATACAGGTAAGATTTGTGTTCCTTTGTTACTTTAGTCCTCTGTTTGGAGCTATCATTGCTGACAGTTACCTGGGTAGATACAGGTAAGATTTGTGTTCCTTTGTTACTTAAGTCCTCTGTTTGGAGCTATCATTGCAGACGGTTACCTGGGTAGATACAGGTAAGATTTGTGTTCCTTTGTTACTTTAGTCCTCTGTTTGGAGCTATCATTGCCGACGGTTACCTGGGTAGATACAGGTAAGATGTGTGTTCCTTTGTTACTTTAGTCCTCTGTTTGGAGCTATCATTGCAGACGGTTACCTGGGTAGATACAGGTAAGATTTGTGTTCCTTTGTTACTTAAGTCCTCTGTTTGGAGCTATCATTGCTGACGGTTACCTGGGTAGATACAGGTAAGATTTGTGTTCCTTTGTTACTTTAGTCCTCTGTTTGGAGCTATCATTGCTGACAGTTACCTGGGTAGATACAGGTAAGATGTGTGTTCCTTTGTTACTTGAGTCCTCTGTTTGGAGCTATCATTGCTGACGGTTACCTGGGTAGATACAGGTGAGATCATATAACATACAGTGCACAGTGTAACATTATAATAATGCTCCATTAATAGTTGTGTATAATCCATATTTATCTATAACCCTTTCTTCTTATGGAAAAAAGATAAGCAAAAATACTAAACTACAAGGCAAATTCAAAAAAGGGAAGTCCATAAAAACTGACAAAATCTAATGTTATCAATCAACAGAACAAGTGAAAAACAACTACCATATTCCTAACAGACATTTGCCGCAGAAAATGGTGGGTTAAACCTGGTTTTATAGCTAGCTAAACATCCCACTTGTATGACAGTTGTTTATTGTTCCGTTATATTGACAAAATCGGTTGAGCAACCCAAACAGACATAGTAGGTGAATGTGATAATAATTGGGATCCAGCAGCCAAAACTGTGTAAACATACACCACAGACATACAACACAACTGACCAAAAAATTTGAACAAACATTTATGTATTTAGTAAATACTTGATTATTAACAAGAAGAAAATTGCATTAAAATATCTATAAGGTAATTGATTAAATAATTTGAAAAGAATATGGTTATCCCCTTTCAGGAAAAAAATTAAAAAGTATAAATTTTTCAGAACATTCCTATATCGTGAGTATTATTTATGGTATTGGGAATGTTATAATGTCTGACATTGATTTTTCAGGACAATCCTATATCTGAGTATTATTTATGGTATTGGGAATGTTATAATGTCTGCAACAGCAGTACCACCACCAGAATGGTAAATATATTATAGTATCTGATGAATTTTTATATTATAGTTTTTTTACCTTTGAACTTAAGTAAGAGTAAAAAAAAAATGTACCCTACTCAGAAGGATGGGGTATACTGGTTTACATCTGTCTGTCCTGTCTGTTTTTCTGCCGATCCCTTAATTGAATCAAATCAAATGTTTATAGCCATATATATTTTACGTGCTTTCTCAGATACTACAAATCAGAGATTCCTGACATTTGATATCAAGGTTTATGTGAGCATTCTATATTGTGTAATGCTTTTTGAGTTTCATTACTCGTCAACATCCTATTTACCAAAATAATCTTTCACACAACAGCCATGTATGAAATTTTCGTCACATTTTTTCTATGGAACTACCAATCAGGCTTTCTAAAATTTGAACTCTAGCATTATCTTTGCATGGTATACTGTGTGGATCATTTCTTAGATTCATTGCTCATCAACTTCCTGTTACCCAATTCTTTTGTTTTCTATCATGTAATGGCCATGTATGAAATTTTTTGTTGCATTTTTCTTAGGAATTACAAATCAAGGCCTTCTGAAATTTGAAATAAAACATCATATGAGCATGATATACTGTGTGATGCATCTTTAGATTTATAGTTCATCAGCTTCCTTACTGAACATTATTCTACATGATATCCATGTATGAAATTTTTTGTAGGAACTACAAATTAAGGCTATCTGATATTTAGTATCAACCTTCATGTCAGCATGCTTTACAGTGTGATGCGTTTTTTCATTCATCATTAGTCAAATTCCTTGTTTCTAATGTTTGCAACCCCAAAACCCAAAATCTCTAGGAATAGAAATTTTGAGTCACCTTACTGTCCTTAATGATAGACATTTTATTAAGTGAAAATACCATGAACATTTCAGTGTTATTTATAATCAATTGTCATTGTAACATAATTTGTATAAACAGCAACAGTATTGTATAAAGAATATGTTGATCCACTTATTTCGTGTTCTTTATGTAGGATTGGGCCAATGATTGCATTAATACTGATTGGAATTGGTACTGGAGGAATAAAACCTTGTGTAGCAGCCTTCGGTGCTGACCAGTTCAGACCAGAACAAGTAAGGAATTGAAGATCTGTGCAATTTCTCAAATATTTATGTTACTTTACTTATCTTACATGTATCCTATTGTCCTTTTAACCATTTTGCTGAGTAAATTTTTATTTTTTTTATCACTTATTACATCCCCTTTCATTACAACATAAACCATTCATGCATTTAATCATTTTTAGCAAGTGTTGATTAACAGTTAACAAATTCTGCTGTTGTCTGCTCTTTGGTCGGGTTGTTGTCTCTTTGACATATTCCCCATTTCCATTCTCAATTTTAATGATTTCTATTTTATTAAGTGAAAGAATGGTAGATGTAGTATCTTAACTGCTTGTGCATAACTAAATCTAAGGAACATAAATAACAAATACAATCTTAGATTCAACTACAAAGGAAACTGCTTTTCATTCTCTCAAGTCAAAAAATTAAAACAAATATTTAAACAATATATAAACAAGTACTGAACTGAAGAAAAATCAGAACAAGAAGAATTGGAAATGTCAAAACTGCTTTCATGCTTTAAATAGATTAATTGTTTCATTTGTATATTTTAGGAGAAAGAACGTGAAACCTTCTTCTCAGTGTTTTATTTCATGATAAACTTAGGAAGTATGTTTTCAATCATACTGACGCCAATCCTCAGAGGTGAGCATTTACAGGAAATTTCTACTCAGTAATTTTAGTTTTAGAGTTATTTTAAATGTAAGAACATGATAAGAGCAATTGTTTATAATTGAAGTAAGCAGTCTGCTTTACATAAGATAACAATTAATATGAATATGATCAGATTTTGCACAGTTCACTGGAGAAAAAATCATCATCAATTTATACATTTGTGTGACTGTAATTAGTTTATTTACAACCTCTTAAATGTATGGAGAGTTGTGGTTGCACAAGAATTCAAAAAGTAAATTGCATTTTTGTACTTGATACAGAACATAATATCCTTTGTCTGTTAGTTTGTTTTTTTTAAATCAACCTGAATAAACAGCTTCGGTCAGCCAGAAAACTATGATTCTAATTTTATTTGGCCTTACTTATTTGTTTTCTTTGTTACAGCTGATGTCCATTGTTTTGGAGAAGAATGTTACCCATTAGCTTTTGGTATTCCTGCTATTCTGATGATATCTTCTGCTGGTAAGTCACATGATAGCTGACATGATCAATTGGTGTTAAATTGCTCTTAAATGTGTCACATTAAATCATTATTATATATATTAAACTATATTTGTCTCTACAAGTCTAAATGGTAAATACACAAGTGTATTTGCTGTATTGCAGCTTTTAGACTGTTTATTTTTGTGACAGGAAATAATCACTGATTGTCCTGAGGATGTAACTTTGAACCCTGCTCATGGTGAGGTGTGTTTGACTCTGATCTAGTCGGACAAGGGTTGCCATTTTTTCTGCCGAAGGTTGTGCTTCTCTCCAAGTTACTCAGGCTTCCTCCACCAGTAAAAACTAGCCATCATGATATGTCCAATGTAGCTGAAAGTGGTATTAAATACCAACCAAGATACAAACAAACAAATGAATTAAAAATAAATAAATCTAGTGAAAACTTCTTGTAATTCTATTTTAGGCAGTTATTTTGCTACTTTATCAGGGAAAATGTGCAGAATACATCATTGAGAGAGCAACCCAATTACAAAAACAAGCATTAGCAAATGATATCTAGAGCTTGAAATGCTTTTTTCAACAATAGGCAGGAGTCTGCTATATGTCAAGCTCTTAAATGTCCGTGTTCTATAAAAGTTGTGGATAAATTAAACTGAAACAATCAAAAGATCTCCCATCAACACCATATTAACATTTTTGTTAAATTGCTTCAGTCACATTTATCTGGTTAATTCACTTGAATAATTTTGGTTTACCATAACAAATATTATATGCCTTTTACTTGTATCTTTTTCAGTGATATTTATAGCAGGTGGGAGATCATATAAGAAGATTCCACCCACTGGTAACCTCATTGGCAGGGTATTTAAATGTATTTTTGTAAGTAATAAAATGTAAGGTAACAATTGTGCTGCTCATTTTAATTTCTGCTGCATTCTGTATCAGACTACTTCACAGATGAATTCCTGGCTTAGTGAGTTAAGTAGATATAAGAAGATGTGGTATGAGTGCCAATGAGACAACTCTCCATCCAAGTCAAAATTTATAAAAGTAAACCATTATAGGTCAAAGTACAGTCTTCAACACGGAGCCTTGGCTCACACCGAAAAAGTCATAGTTCAAATATTCAAGTACTTAATAATTCTCTTGGTTCTTATTTTAGATTTTTTAAATTATGATAAAACTATTTTAAAACTATTTTATGTGTGTATATATGCTATCTAAGGATGTTTCATATGTGTATATATTTTTTCTTTTATATATTGTAGTATGGTTTAAAAGGGAAGATATCAAATCCAGATAAAAGACCACATTGGCTAGATCATTCTATTGGACTTTTTGAGGTAATACAGGCAAAGACTGTGTACCAGGCAATATTTCATAGAATATAGATTTGTTCTTACAAATTTTTAGTACCTGCTTCAAATTATTCAGAGGTTTTGTAGACTATGTGTTCTTTGTAGTTTATTAAGTAAAAATACAGAATAATTAGCTTGTAGGCACTGTGGTTGGGAATTCAAAACCCACTTGTGGCATGTTTTTTTTTACTGGGATTTTAGTAGACTAGGATTTCCTACCCAAGTCCATGGTTCTTTCTGGGAACTCAGGCTTCCTCTGCCATTAAAATAAATGCTGCCATGAAAAAGCTGAGTGCTGAAAAATGGCATTAATAATTATCAATCAATAAGTCAATCAAATTATTTAAATTGCAGCAGAACTTTGATAGCTCTGTTGCTGAATGAATCATCTCATTAAGTTTATGATGTTTATTATGATAAACAGAACTTTGAAATGCTCTTAAAATATTGGACAACTAGATGAACTGTGCATTGCCTTAAAAGGGAACTCAGCATTTCCAATTGGTGACTCACCTAATACTATTAGTACAGAAAATGACTTATATAAATGAAATGTAAAAAAATCACAATTAAGAAAAAGAGAGAACAAACTAAAGTAGCTCCCATGCTAAGTTCAATTTTAAAAGGTATTACATGTAGTTTTCTGTAATTGATCACACACAAGTTTCTGTGCAAGTTCACTTTGTTCTTGATGGCTTCACCATTGCTCACTTTGGTTGATACTGTAATTATGGAGGTTTTACTGTTCACGGTGGTTAATTGAATGGAAAGGTTATCTGTTTGTAGAACTTCTGAACAAATAAATGTTAAAGGCACAAAATGTATATTACTATTTAATTTTATGAGTTATTGAAGATTTTCTTTACATTTCCAGGCTGATTTTGTGAAAGAAGTTAAAAGACTGTTAAAAGTATTAATCATATGTGTACCATTGCCATTATACTGGGCCCTTGGTGATCAGCAGGTTTGTATAGTTTTCTGTCTACCCAGAACATAATTGTTTGACCCCAAGAAGTGATCCTAGTTTATGTTTTGTGTCATTCATGGTCTTTTATGTATAAAGAAAGATTTAATTCCATAAAGTAAAAATTTGGTTGTTTTTGCTCCAAAGGAGATTTGGTAATAATGAATCCACTGTGTTTGGATTCACTGTAAATTTACTCTTGCAAACATAATAAAAAAATAGATATCAAGATATATATATATATAGAGAACATCAAACTGTCATCTAAAAGGAATTTAAACTATATAGCAATGAATGTATTGTCCCTCATCAATATAAGTTGTGAATGAAATCAAGAGAGACGATTAAGGATCAGACATCAACACAAATTTTTATACTGGATAAAAAATACCTGAAGACAATAGCAACAACCAATCATGACTTGGTTCATAAATATGTGGCAGAGTAAACTGTTTTACTGCAGTGTTTAAATTAGAATTGAGTGAACTATAAATTCAGCAATTTGTGTAATGTATTTATTTCTGAAAAAAATGCAATGTGATAAATGAGCTGCATTAGATAGAAATTGACTTTTTGCAAATGAATATCAATACATCTGTTAACCCATTTCAGGTTAAAAAATCTCTATGTGAAGTCTGTAACTGTTTGAAAATTCAGTTGTCATAAGAACTCCTACAAAACAGACCAAAATTCATCTTTTATTTGGTATTTGGGTGTTCTAAAATCAATCAAAGTCTTATTCATGTAAATGTATACGTGCACTTGAATAAGGTCAATTTCTATCCGATGCAGCTCAAATATTACATTAACTAGAACTCACATTTAAAATCCTAATAGCATTTTTGAAATCAAATTTCAGTGTGTAAATGACCGATCAGATTTATAGATACAAACAATATTTTAAAATTACCACTTTATGTTTACATAGGGATCAAGATGGACTTTACAAGCAGAACAGCTAGATGGCAGCATGGTAATTTTACTGTTTTAAAATGGAAACGTCTATACCATAAAAGTCTTAGTATCCCCTAGGAACAAAAATAAATGTTTTTGTTTTGTCTTCATTGAACATGCATATGAATATCAATACATCTGTTAACCTATTTCAGGGTAAAAAATCTCTATGAGAAGTCTAATATTGCAGACAGCATATCCCATGGGTCTAAATGACATATACTTGGACAAGGGAACATATCTAAAACTTTTTTTATTGATATCATGAATATTGTTGATAAAAGACAATGTAATAATAGGTTTCATGGCAAACGTATCAATCGTAATCAACGAATTAAACATCGTATAAATTATACACTTGATGATCTATCTATATTTAAAAACAATGGTAGGCATCAATTATTATGTAAACTGGGTCAAATACCAATTAGTAAATTACATGATTATTTTCAAGGAGTGTGACACAATCTCATTCTTCAGCCCACTCTATGAATATTCGCGTATAATTACAGCTTTTTGTCACCATAGGCTGTTCCCACGTATCGATAAACCTGAAGATCATAAATGGCACGTTCTGACAATTAAATATATTTACAGATTTATTGATTTCATCAACTTATTGAGTATATTAAATGACTCTTCCATTCAAAACTTTATACCTCACTATTTTGATAATGCAGAACCACCTATTATTTCATATACATACAAAAAACCAACCAGAAGTTTGATTTTGAATTATACGTCAGTAACATCACACGTTAATGTAGAAAATAATACTCCTCTAACTTGAAACTGTGAATAGTCAAATTTAAGATATGATCCCTATGGCCATGTTATTATGGGGGATCTCATAATTGTTTAAGACCGAGAGGTTAAAAAGTGTTTGAGAAAAGGACCAAAATATCGTCCTCCATCTAAAATAGATAGGAAACAGTGTCGTCAGGTCACAAAAGACGCTCTTTTATTGTGTTGTAAAAATTGGTGTAAAAGGGAAAAATCTGATAAAAAATCTCTTGATTCTTATTTAAATAAATGCATGAATGTTGTGGATATTCGAAGATCACATTTTGAAAATAATTCAGAAATAAATAAAAGAGTACATAATATGCCAATTTCTAGAATAAGAAACCAACTTCAAGTACTTTCAAAGCGGTTTGTGTTTGTACTGGCCGACAAAGCAGCCAACAATGTGATGGTGGGACGTTCTTAAGAATGCAATTTTAAATTCATCTACATTCAAGTCTGTACGCTCCACAGAGAGTCATTTAGTAAACAAACATATCATAACCACATCACAGCTTAAGGCCTCTTCTGAACATTTGAAGGTCCCTACTATGTATTGGTTACCTAAACTACACAAAAAACCCGTAAAATATCGTTTCATCTCGGCCTCTAGTAAGTGTTCTACAACTAATCTTTCAGTGCTTTTAACTAATTCCTTAACTACTATCAAAGAACTTATCATTAACTTTTGTAATATAATATATGAAAATAGTGGAATTAACTATTTTTGGAGTGTAAAAAATTCTCTGGATGTTTTAGATAAATTACGTGCTTTGATGGTCCTTTTGATTCTGTTGACAGTTTTGACTTTTCAACTCTTTACACTACACTTCCACACAATCTTATCAAAAGTTTTCTTATTTAATTAAATGGTCGTTTGGTAAATCTGAATGCAAATATATTTGCTGCAACTCATTTAAAACCTTCTTCTCTTATGAGAAAGGTAAATATGCTAGATATACTTACTGGAGGTGTGATGAGATGATTGAAGCTGTTTATTTTCTCCTTGATAATATTTATGTACGTTTTGGCAATGAAGTTTATGGACAGGTTGTAGTATTCCTATGGGCACCAATTAATAATTAATAGCAGACTTGTTCTTGTACTGTTATGAATCACAGTTTATGACCAAACTCAGTAAAGACCTGTCTAAATTGCATTTAATTGATAAATTCAACAACACTTACCGTTATTTTGATGATATTTCTTTGTTAAATAATCAAGAATTTTCTAAATATATTGCCGAAATTTACCCAAAGGAACTTACTTTAAATAAATCAAATACAAACGGTAATAACTTTCCTTTCCTAGATTTAGATATTTCAGTTTTACACGGGAAACTTTACACTAAAATTTACGACAAAAGGGACGATCGTTCCCTATTTTTAATTTTCCTTTTTTGGATGGTGATGTTCCTTTGGCACCATCTTACGGTGTTTATATATCACAACTTGTTCGCTATGCCAGTGTCTGTTGTGATGTTTTAGATTTTAATGAAGGTAATCTATGTATTACTGGTAAATTATTAAGTCAGGGATTTTGTTACCACAAATTACTTAAAACCTTTACTAAATTCTTCCATAGATATAAAGATTTGGTTTTGAAGTTTGGTTGTACCTGTAGAAAACTTATTTCAAACGGGATAGCACATCCTCATTTTTACGGAGAATATTGTTTTTATTGGTATTAATATTGATTTTGTTATCAGTAAATTAAAATCTAACTAAATATTATTGTTATATACATATGCACATTCATGGCTCTACAATCTGTCAATACCTGTATCTTGGCATTGCACAAGGTCATGTTTTACTCTGATTGTTTATGACTTCTTTAAACTAAATCCATTGGATGTTGGATGTGTACTGATTGATAATTTAGTCTTAGATGCATGATTTTTTTTATTAGTTGTTATTGGTTTTGAACTAGCTGTCAGTATCTGCTAGTACTCTCAGATCTGTGCTGTGTCTTTTTGTTGTTGGGATGTAGTCAAGTACCCGTCCACGTTCACTTTGTGTTTTTGTTAGTTGTATTTCTATTTGTATCCATCTGATGAGTTAAGCCTTTTTCAACTGATTTTTATAGTTTGTTCTTATGTTGTACTGTTACACCACTGTCCCAGGTTAGGAGGAGGGTTGGCACCTTCAAACTAGTTTAACCCCTCCACATTCTGTATGTGCCTGTACTAAGTCAGGAACCTGTAATTCAGTGGTTGTCGTTTGTTGCTGTGTTACATATTTGTTTTTTGTTCATTATTTTGTACATAAATTAGGCCGTTAGTTTTCTCGTTTGAATTGTTTTACATTTGTCATTTCGGGGAGTTTTATAGCTGACTATGTGGTATGGACTTTTCTCATTGTTGAAGGCTGTACGGTGACCTATAGTTGTTAATTTCTGTGTAATTTGGTCTATTGTGAAGAGTTGTCTCATTGGCAATCATACCACATCTTCTTTTTATATATATTTGGATATGGGCACCCCAACACCTTGTCAAAAAAAGGCTCAGACTTATTTACATGGTAAATTTTCCTCCATTTTATACACATAATCACATAAAGATATAGGGCAGATCCTCCTAATTTTAAGCTTTAAAGTCAAAAGGTTATATGTTGATGTGAAAACACAGAAATACCTTGATTAATTATCATAAAACTTTATACATATAACTGCCATGAGGAGAGGAAGATATATTTAAGGTCAAGCATCAATGTCAAAACCTTGTCAGAATGATATGTAATTATTAAACCACAATAAGCAAGTGGAATAGATTCATTTTGGCATAAAACTGCTGTTGAATATTTGTTTTCCATTGCAGGGTCCACTTGGAAGAATCAAGCCAGACCAACTGCAGGTAAAGATGCAAAAACTATGTTGTGAATTAATGCTACAACAAAAGTTTAAAAGAGAAAAAGAAAGAAATATTGATGATCGTGAAATTCAGTATTTATATTACACATGTTTGTTTACATGATGATACATGAAATACTGTTTTATTATTCTAAATAGATTTAAGATCTTCCAAATAATCTGTATATGCTGTCATTATCTTTAAATGATTTCTTGCTTTGTAGGCACTAAATCCTATCCTGATATTAGGACTCATACCACTGTTTGAGAAATTGATATATCCATGTTTAGATAAATGTCAAGTTCCTAATAGGTGAGTTTGAAGATAAATTTACCACTTCTAACAGGTTTGTCATGACATAGATATAGGATTTCAAACCGATGAGCGAGATAAATATAGGTATTTTTATTAATGTGAGAGATAAAAGAAGATATACAAATGATAGGATAAACCTTGAATAGGTTATATTATTAAACCCTAAATCCCAGAATGGGGTTTAAACTGCAAGCACCTCGTCCTTCTGTCTAACTTTCATTATACCTCAAGAAACAAAGTTTTGTGGTGTATAATGTTTTGACCCGTCCGTTCATCTGTCAGTCAGTCCGTTAGTCCTATTCTTGTCATCACAACTCCTCTGGAACCGCTCAACAGAGTCTCATGAAACTTTGTAGATAATAAGGACATACTATGTAGATGTGCATATCAACATGAAATTATGATTCAACCTTTTTTCTAGGAGTTATGCTCGTTTGAACTGAGAATTTTGTTCTAAATATACTACTGCAACAGTTTGTCATTGCAACACCTCTGAATCCACACAACAGAATTTTATGAAACTTTGTAGCTATTGAGGACATAATATGTAAATGTGCATGTCCACTACAAATTTTTATCAGTTGACTTTTGTAGGAGTTATGAGTCTTTGAACTTAGGAATCTTGTGATATTTTGTTTGCCCAGTGACAATGTGGGGGTGTGGGGTATGTGAGCGTGCTCACTAAGGTTCTTTACTGTGACTTGACTGTAAGTGTTGCTTTCAACCTATTGCAACTTATTCAAAATTCTAACCAAATTGCAATTTGTTTTATAAAACCAAACTGTTCAACTGGTCAGAAATTTGAACAAACTGCTGTAGAAAACCACAGTCAAGTCGTGAAAGTGCAAGGTGATAAAACAAAGCATACTTACAATCCTATAAGACTTTAATTCCACTTCAATGTTATAATGAAAAATCAGTCTAACAGTTTGTATAGAAATTTTATTGTTATTGTCATGCTAAAGGTGATGGGTAGTAATTTTGAATTGCTATAATAATGTCCAAACTAAGCTTTCATACAATTTTTCTTTTGAAAAGTCTTCTATATTCATAAGAATCAGACATCATTTGAATGGGAGATAATCAATTTTTCTTTCGAAAAGTCTTCTATATTCAAAAGACTAATGTTTTAGGTTATCTCCCATGGAAACTTATTAACAACGTATTGTAATTTCACATATATTTTACTGAATGTAAGATGTTTCAATTCAAATGATGTCTAATTCTTATGAATATAGAAGACTTTTCGAAAGAAAAATTGTATGAAAGCTTAGTTTGGACATTTTTATAGCAATTCAAAATTACTACCCATCACCTTTTGCATGACAGTAACAATACAATTTCTATACAAACTGTTAGACTGATTTTTCATAATAACATTGATGTGGAATTAAAGTCTTATAGGATTGTAAGTATGCTTTGTTTTATCACCTTGCACTTTCACGACTTGACTGTGGTTTTCTACTGCAGTTTGTTCAAATTTCTGACCAGTTGAACAGTTTGGTTTTATAATACAAATTGCAATTTGGTCAGAATTTTTAATAAATTGCAATTGGTGGAGAGCAACACTAACAGTCAAGTCACAGTAATTACAATTTGAAATTTGGTCTTGAACTTAATAGTGCTGAGAAAGTAATTTTCAGATCTTCTTGGCATTGATTTCCAGTTTTGATGATACTTTTAATTTTTATAATACTCTCTGAGCATAATTTGAAGCTGACGTAGGATATATTTTGGAAGACATTCTATTCAACTTCTTGTTTCTATCAGGTACTGATTCTGGGTTTTTTTTTATTACAGAGCTACAGCCCTTAAATGTCTGTTTAAAATTAAATGAAAGATCAAAATCATTTACATGTATGGTAATTATTTCTAATTTTTGATGAAGGTTTTATACATTTTTGACAACCTTAATGAGTTATGTTGTGCTCATGTTTTTAATCCATCCTGGTATTTTGTATTTCCAGGCCTCTACAGAGAATGGTAGCAGGAATGTTTTTGACGGTAATAGCTTTTATTATGGCAGGCTTTGTGCAACTTAAAATAAATGTGAGTAAATCAATTGAACAAGAAAATTTACCACTTTGAACAGATGTGTCATAACATAGATATAGGATCACAGCTGTTAGAAGTGGTAAATTTAATTAAATAAAGATAACCTTATATAAATTTTGTAATAGAATAGTTTAAGCATGTGATCCTATAAAGTGCATTTTGCTATATATTTTGAACAATGTAATTTAGTTTTCTTTAATGGAATTAAGTTTTGATGTCTTTAGTGTTTTTATTGGGGGATGTTGGGTTACCATGTCAATGATGTGTATCCCAAATCTCCTCCAAGTCATATTGAATTAATCAAATATGTTGAATCTTTTATGAAACAAGATCAGTATTTTGTGGTTGTTTAATAATCTGTGCTACATACAAATGCAAATGTATGTGTCGACATAGAAATAGTCTATCTTTTGAACTCTAGCATACCTGATGAAGGTTATTTCAGAAAAAACATCATTTTAAATTATTTTGCTAACTCAGTTTATGTAATTTTGGTTGAATGTTATCCCATAGAATAGGTCAGTTCAATTTTGTTCTTTAACACTGACTAACTACATCACTTTATTTTTATACAAACAGTTATTCTTAATAACCAATTTATTTATTTTCAGAATCAGTTTGAATCTCCTTTAACATCTACAGAAATAGGTATAACTCATTACAACGTGTTGCCATGCACTGCATCTTTTTCTTCATCCCGGTATAGTCAAAGTATACGCAGTCTTCAGGTATATATACTGTATATTCTTTCTTAAGAATATGTTTTAGTTCTGTGATGGTGAATTAAGCTTAAGCTAATTGTTGAAAACTTTCAAGGAAGAATAAAAAATGCATCAGTATTCCTGTCGTATAACATATAAAGTACTGTATTCTTGACAAACCAATTTCGAGAATATTCTGGTTTATCAAAACCTTGATTCTAAAACCCATCGACAATAATTATTTTCAGTTGATTTTTTAAGTGTGAGATCTTACACTCCGGACCATGGTTTTCCCACAAAGTATAACTAGAGTGCACATGCTAAAATGTCTTGCTTGTTTTACTAACCATTGATTTTATGTTGATAGTCCTAAATATAAAGTTTTACTACAAGTATCACATAAAGTTAAGATGATCAAAGAAAATGAGGTCAAGGTCAGATAAACCAAGCCAGACAGACATATACACCTACAATCATTCCATACACCAAATATAGTTGAACTATTGCTTGTAGTATACAAGAATCAGTCTAAAACACAAAAACTTAACATTGAGCAATGGACCGTAAAAAATGAGGTCAAGGTCAAATGTAACTTTAACCACTGAATTATGAAAATGACGTCAAGGTCAGATGACACCTGCCAGTTGGACATGTACACCTTACAATCATTCCATACACCAAATATAGAAGATCTATTGCTTATAGTATCTGAGATATGGACTTGACCATGAAAACTTAACCTTGTTCACTGATCCATGAAATTAGGTCGAGGTCCAGTGAAAACTGTCTGACAGGCATGAGGACCTTGCAAGGTACGCACATACCAAATATAGTTAATATTGTATTACTCATAATAAGAGAGAAACTAAGATTACAAAAAATCACCTTTTTTTTCAATTGTTCATTGAACCATGAAAATGAGATCAAGGACAAAGAATGGACAGACGGAAACTTCATATCAAAAGGCATTTATATACAAAGTATGAAGCACCCAGGTCTTCTACTTTCTGAAATATTAAGTTAGTTAATGCTGCCAGCGCCAATGCCGCCACCGCTTGATCACTATCCCTATGTCTCGCTTTCTGCGACAGTATGTCGCATGCTTGACAAAAATTGGAATCTCCCAATAAAATAGTTATAGTGTATAGGTGTTATTATTAGGAATGTATTTTTAGGATAGGTATTTTCTGTATGTCTGTTGATTGTTCCTTCAGTATTTCTTATTAAACTATTGACTAAAAGTTTGGGAAAAAGGGTATAATTTGCCAGTCTTTACCAATTGTAATTACGAATGACTGTAATTAAATTAACATTTCAGTCAAACTGATTTTGAAAATTTCTATTGAGGTCAAACTTTTCTTTCAAGTCTTTTTTTTTAAAGAATTTTTGTCTCCCCTTTACAGAGTCAAAAAGTGAGACATAAGTATGCTGTTTCAGGCAGCGTCAACAATGTATTAGTTTGTGATCAGGTCAGTTTATTGGGGACCTTTAGTTGTAGGTCAATGATATTTGGTGTGCAGTTGTATGAGCATTGGTACATCTCATTTCCATGGAGATTATTTGGACCTGTATCTTCAGTCATGGTTCATTGACTTTGAATATTTTGCATAACTTACATGTTAAAGTATTGCTATTTTAATTTCAATATTTGCATTATACTATCAAAATAACAAAAAGGCAAGACATATCTCTGTGTTAACAGTTTTTTTGGCTATGAGTAACAAAATCCATATTACAGTGCTTTTTTTATCAATAAAACTGTCGCTCACTCTTATTATTGTTCACACCAGACAGATTACTACGTTAATCAAGTTCAGGCAAAGGTAAAGGGAAAAAATAGAAATCATTAAGCAATTGAATTTAAATTATACAAGTACAGTTTGAAAATATGCTTAATTAAATAGATTAGGCCGTTGGTTTTCATATTTGAATGGTTTTACACTAGTCATTTTTGAGGCCCTTTATAGCTTGCTGTTCGGTGTGAGCCAAGGCTCCGTGTTGAAGGCTGTACTTTGACCTATAATGACTTACTTTTAAAAATTGTGACTTGGATGGAGAGTTGTCTCATTGGCACTCATACCACATCTTCTTATATCTATTAATTAAAAATGTGTAATAAAACAAATACTGTAGAGTTATTCTAAAATGCACTCTCAAGTTGATATCCTTCCAAGGATAACACATGAAAGCCTTTCCACTTATTTCCAATGGGATCCTTAAAGTGTATATCACATAGATTAGAAAAATAAGAAATCAAGGCAATTTAAATCTTTAAAAGTTAAGTCTATCAGAAAACATAGTCTAAAAATGTCTAACTTGGATATACAAACTTCTTTATTTTATGAGTTATTAGATCTTAACTTTGTTTTATTGAGGAATGGATTATTGATTTGTTTTTTAGCAATACCATTAGTATAATACCACTTCATCTTTTCCAGATAGGTAAATTTCAGAAATTCAAACCTGGCAACATCACATGGAATGTATCTGCAGATTGTTCTACAGGAAATATCTCTCAAACATTTAATTTCATTGGAAGTCACTCATATAGACTTGTTATTCTACAAAACAATACTTTATCACTGGATCTTATTAAGGTTGGTATACCTTGTTTCTGTATTTAACGGATGTTATTTTATGATATTGAAAGATGAATGGAACCACTCTTTCTATTCTTTGTTGTCCAGGGATAGTTTAATGTATGAAGGGAGATAACTTAGATACCTTTAAGTGTATCTTCCAGCTTTCTTTACTTGAACAGTAGAAGATTAGAGTCCTGAGAAAAAGGTATAAGTACCCAATACTAACTTATTTATCCTCAGTTTCAAATTAATATACAACACATACACTGCTCAATCCAAAATAGAAAACAATAGAACTTTTGCCACACAAACAGATGATAATGTAGTATAATTAGGGCCCCGCCTAGTGGAGGGTCGCCTTATAGTGATCAATCTGTCCATAACAAATTGTGTCCACTCTATATCTAGAGAACCGTTATAATTTCATACTTTATATTTGACATGTATATTAACCAACACCAGAGGGTGTGTCATAATGTTAGTACAACTTCCTAGATCAAAGTTCAAGGTCAGTAGGGCCTACAGAGATGGCTCCCATCTCAATGATGTCTAGTTTAATGTTAAAAAGTTGGTATGACCAAAATTTATACTACTGTGCATTCATTTATTTTCTAGGGTACCAATTTGTGTAAATTGAAGAACATTCATGTATTTGTGGATACTTCATTTCGTGGTTTTTACAAATTTTGTATACTTATGTTTTGCTGAAGGCTTTAATTTGTGGTTCATTATACTCACAGAATCAACAACTTCTAAAAATCTCCATAGGGGGATTTTAAATACAAGAGGACCTGATGAATCTCTTAATTGCTTTTAGTCTAATATTCTATGGCTTTGATTGAGTAAATAAGTGTGTACATGCCATTTTAATTCTTTTTATTGCCTGCTTGGAAATATACAGTTTATATAAAAGAAGATTAAGGCAAATTCAACCATAAATGGGGAAAGTATACAGGTCTGTACCCCACAAATTCAAAGAAATCTGTCGAAATTAATCCTTATATCAATCAAATTATTCAATATTATTTCCTTTTTTATTCAGATAGAGGATCAAAGAAAGAAATCAAGGGAAGGAAATGCTTTGATAAGGTAAATCTATTAATCTTCAAAAGATTCTTATATCAATCCCTGTTATGTTCCATTTTAAAATGTCCAATTAAACATGATCAACAGGAAATGACAACATCACAATATTTTTTTTGCACAAAAATTTCATGGTGTAGCCTCTTTTTTTAACCTTTGGATTTTCATTGTCTTCATGGTATCTTCTTCTTCATTCCTTAAGGAGAAGATATATATTGTAATTTCAAAAATTTGTAAGGGTTCCGCAGAACCCAGTGTCTTGCCTACTTTTGCTGTTAATCGAAGGCTCAACAAAAATGAGGAAAAAAAGTAATAACAATATTCCTTTCAATACTATCTTTTGATTGTAAGAAGATTCTGTCCAAGTTTGGTAAAAATCCAGGATAGTTTATGAATCTAATAAATGTTTTAAATCTTTTAACTGCAGACTGTATGTAATGTTAACTGGAAAACGGAAAAAATGGATTTTTTTTTTTTTTTAGATTTACTTCTGGATACTATCTTATGATCATAAACAGCTTCTGTCCAAGTTTGGTAGAAATCCAGGATAGTTTAAGAAAGTTATTAAAATTTTAAAAACTTTAACCACAGAGTGAATGTAATGTTTCCTGGCAGAAAAACTAAGTCCATTTATAAGTAAAATACGGAAAAACAGGATTTTTTTTTTACAAAATTTACTTCTGGATTCTATCTTATGATCATAAATAAGCTTCTGTCCAAGTTTGGTAGAAACCCAGGATAGTTTAAGAAAGTTATTAAAATTTAAAAAAACTTTAACCACAGAGTGAATGTAATGTTTCCTGGCAGAAAAACTAAGTCCATTTATAAGTAAAATACGGAAAAACAGGATTTTTTTTTACAAAATTTACTTCTAGATACTATCTTATGATCATAAACAGGCTTCTGTACAAGTTTGGTAGAAATCCAGGATAGTTTAAGAAAGTAATTAAAATTTTAAAAACTTTAACCACAGAGTGAAAGTAATGTTTCCTGGCAGAAAAACTAAGTCCATTTATAAGTAAAATACGGAAAAACAGGATATTTTTTTTACAAAATTTACTTCTGGATACTATCTTATGATCATAAACAAGCTTCTGTCCAAGTTTGGTAGAAATCCAGGATAGTTTAAGAAAGTAATTAAAATTTCAAAAACTTTAACCACAGAGTGAATATTTGTGGACGCCGCCGCCGACGGAATGTAGGATTGCTATGTCTCGCTTTTTCGACACAAGTCGAAGGCTCGACAAAAACCCAATAATTGGTTTTATTATACATTCTTTTTGTTAATAGCATCACCTATCTGGTGATTTTTTTGGTACATTTTCTTTTTAGCATAAAGAAAATGCATGGCATCCCATTGTTTAAATTGGATTTTAACATGGACAGGCCTTTTCCATGGTTAATATGAGACAAATCATGACTACCTTATGTTATATTAGGATATTTTTTTTATAATTGTAGCTCATTTAGTTCAATAAACTTTTATAAAATGCCTAATGTATTGGAAATCAAATGAAAAGAATGATTTGTTTGGGAACTTTGGTTCTGGGTTATCAGGGTCGAACTGTTGTCTTAGGTTAAAAGGGTCAATCTGTGGTCCTTGGTTATAAAGGTGAATCTTTGGTCACAGTTTAACAAGTTCAATATTTGGTAACCGCCACATTCTGTTTGTGCCTGTCCCAAGTCGTTTGTTCATGTCTAACATATTTGTATTTCGTAAATTGTTTTGTTATAAATTATGACATTGAATTTCTCAGTTGAATTGTTTCGACTATAAGATAAGGGTTTTTCTCATTGTTGTAGGCCATACGGTTGCTTATAATTGCGTACATCCACTTCATTTGAACATTGGCAATCATACCACATCTCCTTATTTTTATATCAGTGGTCTGGTGGTCTGGTCACGAGTGGTAGCATGCGCAGCTTGATCACGAGAGGGCATCTGTTTGAATCTAGGCCAGGTCAAAACAAAAACTTGAAAAATTGGTATTTGCTGCTTTTCTACCAAGTATGCAGCATTTAGGAGTAACAGCAAAGACTCATGTATAACTGTTATATATAACTTCTTTTAAACTGCACATTTTTTTTCAGTGTTATGAATATGGATAATTCTATAGGCAGTGTGAAACTGGTACCAACTACTTATACTGGTACTGTTTCAGAGAAAACAGGGATCACATTTGATATCAAAAACCACACCCACTTATCTTTAGAACCTGAAAGGTAAGATAATATTTCTTAAGTAATTTTAAATTAATTATTCAGCTGTTATTTTTCAACAGTGGATTTATAGTTTTAAATCAATCATGTTTGTTTGTTTATAAACAAGGAAAATAATCAGAATTATGTGAAAAGATAGATGTTTTTTGTTGCATAAGATTTGGCATCATTTACCTCCTGGACCAAAGGCCAGTTAGAGCTGTTACAATCACAAGGTTAACATACTTAATGTCTATTGGTCAATTGGAATATTGTCTGAATCAGTGTTATGTGATCTATTTAAAGCTGGGAACTATTTCCTTTCCAACCTATTATTGTGAGCGCCATGACTGAAATAAAGGAAATTCTACAAAGTTTGTAAAAAAACATGTACTTCTAAATATTACAATCCTGATTCATGAACAGTGTGCAGAGCTTATAAATTCATACCCCACTCTGCCATTTGTATAGCTATGGCAAAGTATATCAAATAGGGTTAAAAAAGTCTGTAGAAAATTATGAAAAATACTACAAATGGTCAACTGCTTCCAAACTTTGTCAAAATGATATTTCTTTAATCTCCTGTAAGTATTGTTCTTTGACTGCCATCAAAGATGGCTACCACTGTTACTTATAAAGACATATTGACATTAAGATAAAGTTAAAGAGAATCTTTGAAAAAGACTTATTAAGCATCGATGAGGAAAGTTTTACATAAAATAGATAACATTATATTCTCCTGTATGACACAAAACGCCAAACATTGTCATCACAGTTCATACTGGAAATGGAGAAATTAAACAAATCAACAGCTACCAAACATAGATGAAATGATCATGCCCTTTAAGAGTTATAAGTTATGCCCCAAAACAACATCAGTCATTATTCCTACTGTTACTTAAATTGAACATTCTTGATATAAAATATGTTCTTATATGAAGGGTCAATTCATGACTAAGGCCTGGTGCTTAAAGACGATGTATTAACTCATTTTGCTGTAATGGAAATTTATCTGTTTACCTAATAAAATTTGATTTTAACAGTTATAAAGTTTATAAGTTACAAAAGAATGGTGATAATGAAACAGATTGGAGTTTGATGTCCAGTGTTAAGTTGGGTATAGGTGGAATATATACACTTCTGTTATATAATGAAAATAGCAAGGTCAGTATATCAAACACTTAGTAATTTATTATCATTGTTTTTTCCACATAGAAATTTCTTATAAAGATATAAAGAACCCAATAAAAAGACATTTGTGGTATTTGTCATATGCAGCCTCTTTTTGCAACAGAAATTCTGGGGGAAGGGGAATTTTCATCATTTGTTTAAACACCTAGAAGTTAAAAGGCATTTGTGTTTTTGGAAAGATTGGAACCATTATTCCAAGTCTTTCCTAAGGCACCGGCCTCCCTTACAAGAAGTGGAACAGGTTAGCCACTAAATCTACAAAATGTGTTCACACTGAAATATAGTTCCCTATTATTCTCATGTCTGTGTTCATATGCACATGTGTAAAATTTGGGTTATATTTTTATAGTTGTTCATTCAAGTATGTATGTCTTTAAGGTTTGTCAATGTGCAGGCTATTTTTGTCATTGTGATTAGGTAAAAGTAATGATACAATACCAGTGTGATTTTGATTCACACCTGTCATGATCACTAAACAATCAGAGACAAGGTGATGCCTTAATTACAAGGCCACACCTCTGTAAATGCCAATTATATTGACCACATTACTAATCAACCTCTGACAGTCTTACATAATTAAGCATACCCTTCATTATTCATCTCAATACACAAATACTTGACCTCATTTTTGAATACATAAATGTATATATTAGATGTTTGATAAATAGAAATGAAAGATTTATTCATTGCCTATTACTTTTGATATACACTACATAAAGGGAATCTGTAAAAGAGGGACGAAAGATACCAGAGGGACAGTCAAACTCATAGATCGAAAACAAACTGACAATTATGTCTGAAAGATAAATGATTTATTAAGGATTAAATATGAAATCTAAATAATTTATAAAAAAGGTATTCAAGTAAGGTCTATATTTTACTTGATAAATCTGTGCAATAATCATCTGTAATTAATTAACAATTTAGGTCAGTACACTTATCAGTGATTTGCTTGATACAGTAAGTAACATTTTAAAATTCTTAACCCAAGCAACCGATATTATTTATGCCCCACCTACGATAGTAGAGGGGCATTTTGTTTTTTGGTCTGTGCGTCCGTTCGTTCGTTCATTCGTCCGTTCTTCCGTCTGTCTTGCTTCAGGTTAAAGTTTTTGGTCAAGGTAGTTTTTGATGAAATTGAAGTCCAATCAACTTGAAACTTAGTACACATGTTCCCTATGATATGATCTTTCTAATTTAATGCCAAATTAAAGTTTTGACCCCAATTTCCCGGTCCACTGAACATAGAAAATGATAGTGAGAGTGGGGCATCCGTGTACTATGGACACATTCTTGTTTTAGTTTATTCCCCATCAATATCTGTTAACAATTTTAGTCAATTGAATACAAGAAGTGTATTTTTGCAATAAACAATGAATCCCCATTTCAATAAAATAAGTTTTTTAATTTGTTTATGTTGAAAAAGTACATCTTCAATGCCCTTTTCTGGAAAATATTAAATTATAAATTGAATAGAAATTCTCTCTACAACTTTTAATCTTCAGTGTCATATAATCATGATAATAGTTTTCAAAATCAATAAGCAATTCTTAGAGGAGAAAAATAGTATACCTATGTTTCAACTTACAAAATACCCCCAAACAACCTTCTTTGATTCGATGATGATGATGATGATGATGATGATGATGATGATGATGATGATGATGATGATGAGGAGGAGGAGGAGGAGGAGGAGGAGGAGGAGGAGGAGGAGGATGATTGATTGATTGATTGATTGATTGATTGATTGATTGATTGATTGATTGATTGAGTATTAACACTGCTTTGTACTAGACTGACACACACTGAGTCTGATTTTTAACATGCTCGTTCACAAGTTAACGGTACGCAGGAAGACATGTCACCTTACCCGGACACATTATTGTGACTCCGAGTTGACCTGTCTTGGCTCTTACTCCTTTATGCCGCGTGCTTTGCGGAGAAGCAGCAAATACCAATTTTAAAGTCTTTCGTTTGACCGGGCCGGGGTTTGAACCCACAACCTCCCACACTTGAGGCGAACACGAGACCACTAAGGTGGTATATTTTTCTTTGAGACAACAAAGTTCTGAGCTTCCAGTCTATCTGTTTGTCCCATTCCTACAAGGATAATTGAAATATCTTCTGTTTCAAAAGATAAAACATAAAAGGTGAAACATGTAACAGGGAATATTATTGGTTAAGATATAAACTGCAATTTAAACGAAATTGTTGTGCAGATTAAGGGACCCGCTATCAGTGATTCACATTTAGCTCTTTTTATCTCCTGAAAAAGTGCTTATCCTTCTAAAGACCTGCAGTTAATACAATTGTCAGCAATAGTGCTATAATGTTCTTTTTGTACACACCATACCTAAATATGATTTGAAATTATTCAAACTACTCTTCCTATCTTTCCATGAGTGATTTCCGTCACTTTGATTTAAAAAAATACCAGCAGCTGTCTAAGACACTATATGCGCTCTGGATTTCTTATGTGTTCAACCTATATTGCTGTGGACACATACAAACAACAGAAAATTAGAAAAATGGATTTTATTAATGATGACCAGGTATTCAAAAACCATACCACCATATCTAATTATTGAAAGCTTACAAAAATTAACGAACTCACAGTATTTTTCAGATATTAAAACACTTCTTGGATTATTTTTATTGTACAAGTTGTACTGTAGTTTAAAGGACAAATATGTTATTATTTTCTGTTGTACAAGTTGTACTGTAGTTTATAGGACAAATATGTTATTATTTTCTGTTGTACAAGTTGTACTGTAGTTTATAGGACAAATATGTTATTATTTTCTGTTGTACAAGTTGTACTGTAGTTTATAGGACAAATATGTTATTGTTTTCTGAATAGCATGTTATATATTTCAGACAAACCTAATGCTATTTACTAGTGTAGAACAGAACTCCTTATCCATGTTTGTGATGGTACCACAGTATATAGTTATAACTGTTGGAGAAATTCTATTCTCTATTACTGGTCTCTCATTTGGATATTCACAGGTAATTATTATGTTATAAGATTCACTAAGGATATGATACAAATGTAGATTGTTAAAGGAGCTGTTAGTATTCATGTTCTTCTAACCCACTGGGCATGGATTTTTTTTGTTACGTATTTGTTTATTTAGGTGGCTCTGCCCTTTAAAAGTGCACGGTTTTTAATGCATGTTTCTAATGACGAGAGTGTGCTCTTCATCTTGGAAACGATGGCTTTGAGGAGTCTTCTCAAAAATAATTTTGACGACATCAGAACCTTTCTCGGTGTTAATAAGCAATGCAAAACTTTCTACAAAAAAGAAATAATATAAAAAATACAGAACTGTTTGTTACTTTTTCGCATAAAATTTTAAAAGGACAGAAATATTAGAATGCATAAAAAAAAAAATTTGAAATATTGACATGGTGTACGACTGCCAAAGACACAACATTTAACTGTAAACAAAGGACCTGCATGTCACCATACGGCCTTCAACAACGAGTAAAATCCATATAGTTTGCTTCATAAGGCATCGAGAGGTTCATCTGCACGCTATAGCTATCAGGTTTGCGTATTATTATACTTTGTCACTGTCATAAATCTTTTTTAACTTGAAATATCTTCATTTTTTATATATATATCGGTCTATGCTGTTATCTCTCAATGTGGCATATGCGCATGCTTTGCTGAGAAGCACTAAATCTTTGGTTTGACCCAGTCATGGATTAGTTTAGGACCCAACAATCTACCAGGCAGTTCCAAAGACTACTAGCTAAAGGCTTTATATGTTAACAAACTATAAACTACTTACTTGGTTCAGGAAAAATTGGGATTGTAATTTTAAAGCTCTGCCCAGTACATACATTAAATTACTCTGTGTTATAGGCAAACTTTAACTTCTTCTGTTTTACTTTTTTCACATGTGTTTTTTTTTTTGAAAAGGAAACTAATAGCGTAAGTTCTTGATTTCAAAAATGAAAGTGGAGTATGTCTTTGCTGCAAAAAATTTGAATGACTATTTTCTCAATGAATGTATGAACAATGGTTTGTCCTGGGATATAATATATATGATATACATGTTATATGCTATATAGTTAGTATACTAGTCTGAGGTTTGACCTACCTGCTGCAAAGTAACAAAATTATCGGTCTATGATGATAATGAGATGAGATATCAATTTTTCTTTTTTACTGGACTCGTAGGGTTAACATGAGTATAGAAATATGACTTCCCTAATCCGACAGATAAACCCTTGCTAAGACAGGGTGTTCATACAGCTGGATGTATAAATATGCAGCCTTGTAGGGTAACAATGGGAATATTTCCCATATCTTACATAAGTTGTACCTTCATTAACCAGTGGCAGTCCATATATCTTGCCCTTCCTACTTTGCAGAACCTACATATGGTACTAATCATCAATATGTCCTCATCCTTAATATGCTTAAAAAATTTGCCATTGGACATTCAGCTAGCACCAATTAAACTTTTATTCTGTGCAATTTATACGAAAGAACTTTCACACAGAGTAGACAGATTTGATAGTGTTACAAAGATATTGATTTTCCTTTCAACCATGATAGTTGTTTTGTGAAATCAATTTCACGACACTAAATAAGGAAATAAGTTTTCTTAAAAACTATAATGCTTACAAGCAAATGGTGTGAACTATTAGGACTTGTTTCAATACAAACAAGAAGTATATCAGGATAGATCACATATTTTTAAAGTTGTTACCATAGATTCCTAGATACATCTACATGTATGGTAGTCACATTTTTCAACACATTTTTTGTGTCAACAAGAGTGCACAAGCTGAAATGTCTCAACTGCTTTACTAATAAATCATGATTGATTTATGACTGATTTTATGTTGATATTCCTAAAGATGAAGTTTTACTTCAAGTATCACAAACACTTGTGTAATCAATGATCCATGAAAATGAGGCCAAGGTCAGATAAACCAAGCCAGCCTTACAATCATTCCATACACCAAATGTTGTTGAACTATAGCATCTATATAATATACAAGAAACAGACCAAACCATGAAAACTTAATATTGACCAATAAATTATAAAAATGAGGTTAAGGACAAATGATACCTGCCAGACAGACCTGTACACCTTACTATCATTTCATACACCAAATACAGTTTACCTATTGCTTTAAGTATTGGAAAAACATACCAAAACACAAAAACTTAACATTGACCAATGACCTATTGCTAACAGTATCTGAGAAACAGCCCTAATCAGGTAACTTTAACCTTGATCACTGATCCATGAAATGAGGTTGAGATCAGATTAAACCTGTCTGAAGGACATGTAGACCTTGCAAGTGACCCATATACCTAATATAGGTATCCTATTATACATGTTGCAGCTGCTGAACTATGAGAATGAGGACAAAGACAGCAGACATATGACAGATGGACATTTTGTAACATAAGGCATCTGACTACAAGGTATAAAGCTTCTGGGTCTTCTACCTTCTGAAATATAAAGCTTGATGCAAATAGTTTATGCCGACACCAGATTGTAATCCCTATATCTCACATTCTGTCACTTTCATCACAGGCAGGAAAAAAGTTGTTGGGTTGTTGTTTTGTTTATGAATACCGGTACAGTAAAACCTGTATAAACCGGCCGGCTACGGGACTATGAAAAAGGGCCGGTTTGGACAGTGGGCAGGTTTATTCAGGTTTCCGTTTTGACCTGAAGTTAATGACTAGTGATGTCCGATATATTGCATATAAAAGTTCTGTCTGATTGTAAATTATAAACTGATAAATACAAAACGTAATAACTTCGAACGATCGTTGTTTTCAATCTTCTTATTTATTGGCTATAGAAATTTAAGAAACTGGTTGTTCCTCGAAATAAAAAAAAAAAAAAAATATTTTAAGCTTTTTTTACATATCCTCGTAAGTCAAATAGAACTCGGTAGCATCAGTCTCCAACTTGTCAGTTTCACTTTCACTTTGTGTTCATTGTTTTCATTTGCAACAGAATTCTCGCGTTGTTTGAATTGTGACACCAGAGTTTCGTTTTACTTCCATCGTTCATTTCCGACGTTAGTATAGCCGATTAAAAAGCCAGAATTTTATCAAACGAAATTTCATCATGATCTAAACTTTGTCGTACAGTATACGATACCCATGGATTATCATCTGGGTGTTCTTCATTATGATGTCATTGGTTTAGGGGTTCACAACAGGGAACCCAGGATTTTAAAAACACGAGGTAAATTTCATACTCCGCGATTTGAAAAATATTATCCAAGTTTCAACGTAAGTTCTATCCGAGATTTATTTGGCGTGTCTTTTAGTTTAATTTACACTTTTATAGTGTTTCAATAATACAGCTCACTACTGTTTCATGTGTAAGTTCACGGTTAAACACCTGGCTAATTGATTATCCTGAAAAGCTTGTGTAATTAAACAAATATGTTTTGATTTCGTATCGATCATATACTCTTATCACTTTAAATTAATTAGACAAACCGGTTTTGACAGGTAACAATTGAGGTAATTAAGAGTATTGGGACTGCATCATCAAACCGGAATTCGGAATACACAGGGTCCGGTTTACAAAGGGTATTTTAACAAAGATTATGAAGGGAAAAAAATGGGACTTTAATTTTCGGCCGGAATGAACAAGAAACCGGTTTATTCAGGGTCCGGTTTACTCAGGTTTGACTGTACTCCATATTTCTCCTGCAATATTTTTAGGATTTTTAGGGTAACAAAGTAATGTAAAAGTACATTGTTGATGACATTCAGGTGATTGATCAAACATAAATCAAATGAGATAAAAATTACGCAGACAGGATTTTCCCCTTTCTACTCTTAGAAATATTTCCAAGTTAAATTTTATGTTTATAAGGCCATAATTAGGGTATGGTTATAATTTTTTTTTAAATATCATTTACAGAAATCAATGTTGCAATCCCTATTAATTGGAGTTCATATCTAATTTTACAAAACAATAGTTGCCTGATTTTAGTTATCTAGATCATTGTGATAGATGATGAGGTTGTCAGTTAGTGAGACACAATTTTACAGGTATACCCTATAATCACCTTCCCTAATTGTGTCAGTTTTTTCAGACAGTATAATTTGTTTGACTGTTTTGTTTGGATGCTATCTCATTGAACTAGATTCCAAATCTCCTTTTATCCAGAAAAGACTTTTGAAATAGCTAAAAATGGATGGGCAACAAATGCCATATGATGTAAAACATTTCAAATGGCCATTTGGGTCAAGTGGTGGGTGAGGTAAAAGATAAAAGAAAGGCACATGCATTTTAACAACTGCCACATGATATTATGATTTCCAAAAAATTACAAATCCAATTAGCTTAATTTTACAAGACAAAGGCATACATTGCAGTTTGCTTGTCCTGTTTCATGTTTGCAGCAAAAAATAAATTAAATAAGCTCTAAAAGGTATTTGATTCATTTTTGTCGAGCCTTCGACTTTTGTCGAAAAAGCGAGACATAGCGATCCTACATTCTGTCGTCGTCGGCGGCGGCGTCCACAAATATTCACTCTGTGGTTAAAGTTTTTGAAATTTTAATAACTTTCTTAAACTATCCTGGATTTCTACCAAACTTGGACAGAAGCTTGTTTATGATCATAAGATAATATTCAAAAGTAAATTTTGTAAAAAAAAAATTCCATTTTTTCTGTATTTTACTTATAAATGGACTTAGTTTTTCTGCCAAGAAACATTACATTCACTCTGTGGTTAAAGTTTTTGAAATTTTAATAACTTTCTTAAACTATCCTGGATTTCTACCAAACTTGGAAAGAAGCTTGTTTATGATTAAAAGATAGTATCCAGAAGTAAATTTTGTAAAAAAAAAAAATCCATTTTTTCCGTATTTTACTTATAAATGGACTTAGTTTTTCTGCCAGTTAACATTACATTCACTCTGTGGTTAAAGTTTTTAAAATTTTAGCAACTTTCTTAAACTATCCTGGATTTGTACCAAACTTGGACAGAAGCTTGTTTATGATT